CCGTGCTACGCTCAGCATTAAAACTTACCTTACTTTGGTGGCGAATTCGCGTATTTTGAACCCTCACTCGTGGCATTAAGACGATAAAATTGAGATTGCTGCCAAACTCGACCTCGTGGTCCACCTAGCTCCCTCTACCAGATTTTATTAAAATTGATTCGGTTATTTCATCACAACAATATGTGACATTTACCATATAAAGGTCTGCATTGCGTATGTACATAAGAGAGTACGTATATTCTGAAAGTTATTTACTTGTTTGTTTGTAATTAAGCACAAAGCTACATAATGAGCTGCCCACCACAGGTATCGAAACCCGGATTCTAGCGTTGTAAGTCCGCAGACATACCGCTGGGCCACTGGGGGGCGAGTTATTTACTGCATGCTTGGGTTATACTCATTAACAAACTTTAACAATTAAGAGCATAAAAGTTGTTACAAGTAAACATAGCAAGCCTGAATTTTGTTTGGAATGGCCACAAATTTTAGGTAATACAAATGCTTTAATGCAAACTTTATAATTCTTATTTTGAGGTTTTATTGTTCGAATTACTTGTCATTTTTATATGAACAGCTACGTTTCAATATTCGAGTTGAGGTTTGTTTTCTGTTTCAGAATTTTAGCACAAAGCTAAACAAAGGGTTATCTGAAAATAGCTGACCCCACCTGACCGATTGGATACCCCCCCTTATTGCGCACAGCAGCGCTTGTTTAGTAGATTCACTATCCGGGCATGCTACTGGCAATTGGTGACGCCCGGCCCAGCGGAGGTTTTTACTTTCCTAAAAACGTCGACCATGAAACAATTATATTGATAATAATAAGTCGCTTTTATTTATGTCATTTCAAGTGTAATTGTCACGTAGGTACAAGTTTAGACCACTTAGGAACGACTTCGGAACCGATTCCTCTAAAAGTAAATTTAAAAAAACAGAGTACTCAACAACGTTATTCTATCTGAATACAAAACTCTTCATTTTTAAAGAAAATAATAATATATCTGTTTTATAATGTAATGCCAAGCAAGATATGAATTCTTATACGAATGCGGTGTTAACGTTAGGTTTTTAATGAATTAATAATGTTTAGTTTGAATTTCACGCAAAGTTACACGAGGGATATCCGCGCTAATTGTCCCTAATTTAGCAGTGAAAGACTAGAGAGAAGGTAGTACCGCTAACTATTGGGCTACTCTTTTATTCTAATAGTGAGATTGACCATAATATTATAACGCACCCACGCCTGAAAAGACGAGCGTGTAAGATGATGGGATTCGAACCCGCACCCCACGGCTTGCGAGTCGAGCGCCGTAACCACCTGGCCATGCCGAGCCTAATATCTTTTAGAAGACTATAACTTACATAGCCTAAAATGTGCTATGTTCTCTGTAAAGATAATGCCTCCGTACATTTTGTCTTTATTCTTTGTTGTATTTAAACATCGATAGAACTTAAGCGGTTTGGCTGACTTTTGTAATAAGATTTAGCGCAGGTATTCATGATCTTGGTTAGAAACTTCTTTGATATTCCACACCAGGAATAACTTTTATTGTTACTGCAATTAAAAGTTTTGATGGAACAGAAGCGGTTAGGATTATGAATCTTCTTCTTCCCGTATCTATACGGGGTCGCTATTTTCGGTTTTGGCAGGGTTTTTACGGCCGGATGCCCTTCCTGACGCCAACCATCCCCGAATTTAGCAGTGTAAGACTAGAGGGAAGGATGCTAGTCATCACCACCCACCGCCAACTCTTGGGCTACTCTTTTACCAACGAAGAGTGGGATTGACCGTAACATTATAACGCTCCCACGGCTAAAAGGGGCGAGCATGTTTGGTGGGATGGGGGCGCGAACCCGCGACCCGCAGATTGCGAGTCGAGCGTCTTACCCACCTGGCCAAGCGGTTAGGATTATGTATATTTAGCTGTAGTTTATTTCTAAGTGTCTCTCAGTGTTCATAATCATTATATAAAAAGAGCAAGCTTAGTTATTAGTGGACAGGAAGGATTATGGTTAGGAATGTTTATTCCTTCATGTGACCATTAATGATTTAAAACTAACATGACTTGTTCCTCGTGTGTTGTTTTAAACTTCAAAATACACGTCTTGTCGGAAAGAAAATGAGCAGTGATTTGATTTATTAGAAAGTGTTGAATCAAGAAGTTTAAGTGACGAGAGGTTGGGTTCGTGCATGACTGTTTAATTCTGGACCACCAAGTTGTTGGAAAATTAAAACAAGCGTGGAACGTTCCACCTCTGCGTGCGGTGCACAGGTCCAGGTTCCATGAAGTAACTTTTGAATTATTGACGACGTCGCCGTTGTGGTTTATTGTTAAAAAATACTCCCGTCAATTCCAGAGTCTCTTATTCCTCTGAAGATCTTATACGAATTTAGTATTCAAGTCGTTTATGTAGCAATATTTCCATTCGAGCATGCGAATTAAAACCAATGTTCAGCGTGGCAAGACTGTATAGGTATAATGCTTATTTGACGATTGGGCTATACACTATTGGTGCTTCTCTTAATTTTTCGCGTATCCTTAGATTGCATATATATATATATATATACACATGGTTTAGGGATGTCCGTATAACAGTACGTGTACGAACTTATATGGCTTTAACTTTATTCAGTGTGTGAGAATAGCTGGCGTCAGATGTATGTCGGGTTCGTATTTTAGTTTGTGGCAGACTTTGAAAGAATGACGAACAGCTTTGGCCTGGACCGACAAGGGGCCGTTCGTTAGGTCGTGTCCCCACATAAATCTGACTATAGGAGGGAAATTGATGTCACTGCTCCTGCTATCAATTCAATGGCATCTGTGGTTATATATAACTGACAGTTGAATAACGTTTCCAGTCCGTTGTACACTGACGTTTAGATAAGTCGAGTAACGTTTTCAGTCCGTTGTACACTAGAGTTGAACTCTAAAATAACTTTCATGTAGCAATTAAAGTGCTAACATCAGCAAGAAACCTTGTCATCTTCCACTGGCAAGTTCTTGATTTAAATAAATACTAAACCGAACAACAAAAATATATCTGTAATTTTCTTTGAAATATAACTACTGTGAAAAAACTTACAAATGTTGAAAATATATATTACAGTAACACTTGAAGTTGAACCTACCCTCACGTCAACCAAAACATTACCTACAAGTTTCTTGAGTTATTCTCTTATGCAGAGTGTCTTTAATTGATTTTCGCATAATATAAGCACGTGTTTTCGAGAATGATTTACAGATTATAGAGATGATGTATTAGTGTTATTTTGGAGGTTTAAAGATCACATAAGAGCAAAGGTCGGTGGTTGTATCCTGTTCACTTGATATACTAAAATTTGAATCATAAATAATTTTACTTCTACACCACTGACATTTTTGCTCAGTTAAACTTTGTGTAATTCTCTTGATAACACTCGTTTTTAATGAAGTTGTCATTGAGATTATGGTATACGAACTTGTTTTTCAAGAACAGTTGACATAGTTCTTAGGAACAGGTTATTCTATTTGTGAGGTATTTAAAAGATTTTCAAAATGAGTCAACTTCAGACGTGTAACAATTATAGGCATTGCTTAGGATCAGTAAAGTAGGGTTCAGGGAGTAGTTAGGTAGATTTCAAACAGTATGTAGGTGAGTTCCAGGGAGTACCTAGGTAAGGTTCAGGGAGTAGTTAGGTAGATTTCAAACAGTATCTAGGTGAGTTCCAGGGAGTACCTAGGTAAGGTTCAGGGAGTAGTTAGGTAGATTTCAAACAGTATCTCGGTGAGTTCCAGGGAGTACCTAGGTAAGGTTCAGGGAGTAGTTAGATATGTTAGAAACAGTACCTAGGTTGGGTTCAGGGAGTAGTTAGATAAAGCTCAGGAAGTACCTAGGTAAGGTTCAGGGAGTAGTTAGATATGTTAGAAACAGTACCTAGGTTGGGTTCAGGGAGTAGTTAGGTAAAGTTCAGGAAGTACCTAGGTAAGGTTCAGGGAGTAGTTAGATAAAGTTCAGGAAGTACTTAGGTATGGTTCAGGGAGTAGTTAGGTAAAGCTTTCAGGAAGTACCTAGGTAAGGTTCAGGGAGTAGTTAGATATGTTTCAAACAGTATCTAGGTATGGTTCAGGGAGTAGTTAGGTAAAATTCAGGAAGTATATAGGTAAGGTTCAGGCAATATCTAGGTTGGGTTAAGGGAGCTAGGTAGAGTTCAGAAAGTAGCTAGTTAGAGTTCAAATAATATCTAGGTAGGGTTAAGGGAATGTCTGAGTAAGGTTAAGAGATTAGTTAGGTAAGGTTCTATGAGCTATTTCACTTATGTATTTAATCAAACGTTCAGTATTTTCATGTATGTTTGAGAAGCATGATTCAGGTTTTTGAATGGAGAAATTCTCAAACTTAAGATATTGCGAAAAGAAAAAAATAAACGCGCGTGTTCATTGACATAATTTTGTTTAACATTTGAATTTTCTTCAATCTCTTCAGCACTGGGGATTTTTACCTTTGACCTATAACATTGTCTGGAGACGAGCCAATAGATTTCTCTAAAAAATCCAGTTGCTGTTACAAGATTAACATTGAAAATTGTTCTTATTAATTCCTCACGTGCTCCTTGACCTCATCACGAGGAATGGAAGGGGGTGATTTAAAATTGTGGTAGTACTTATAACAATAATAACTTGATGCTAAAAATGAAAAGTATTAATTTAATTTTTTCTATAAAGAAGTTAAGATATTTCAAATGTTATCTTTGATCTTCGAAAGATTATGAAATTACCTGAAACTGGTCAAAGTATTTCTTCGTAAGAACGTGTGTTTTTGTTGAAATAGGGGGAACAAAAACTTGTTGGAATCATTTTGACGTATGAATTTTTTTTTGTATTTTACAGAAGGTATGAGATTAGAAAAAATCATGTCTCGAGTTCACAGATGTGCGGTTTTTAGATATCTGAAACAAATGTGGGATCGATTAGCCAAATTAAACATTATTTATACAAAAATACGTTAGCCTCATGAATGTATTATACTTGAGGCTCATAATAATTAGCTCTGAAAGGAATGTGATACTCGGGGCTCGTACTTTTTAACTCTGAAGGGATGTGATACTCGGGGTTCATATTTTTTAGCTCTGAAGGGATGTGATACTCGGGCTCATATTTTTTAGCTCTGAAAGGAATGTGATACTCGGGGCTCGTACTTTTTAACTCTGAAGGGATGTGATACTCGGGGCTCATATTTTTTAGCTCTGAAGGGATGTGATACTTAAGACTAATACTATTTAACTCTAAAGGGATATAATACTTAGGGCCCATATGATTTAACTCTAAGGGGATGTGATACATGGGGCTCATACTATTTAACTCTAAAGGGATGTCATACTTGGGGCTCATGTGATTTAACTCTAAAGGGATATGATACTTGGGGCTCATTTGATTTAACTCTAAAGAGATGTGATACTTAGAGCTCATACTATTCAACTTTAAAGGGATATGATACTTGGGGCTCATGTGATTTAACTCTAAAGAGATGTGATACTTAGGGCTCATACTACTCAACTTTAAAGGGATGCGATACTCGAGAGTTATACTATTTAGCTCTGAAGGATATTAATTAGGTCTAGTTATTTCTTATATAACAATGGTTTTTGTCGATGTTAGGTATTGATGACCTGTCCATTTCCATTACAATACGTATATGATACCGTGTTTTCATTTAGCAGAAAACAGATACACCCATTCTTCAGAAGTATTGTGAAATGAACATCACGTTGATGAAAATGTTATTCATTTTTGAGATTAATTTCAAATCAAGTATCTATACATTGTTTCTCCAGTAAGCAGAATAATATGAAAAATCCTCTTTTGCTTCATATTTAAAAGTTTATTATTAGATTAAAAAACAAAGCTGTTGATATATATATAAGATAATGGTGCTACGTAGTGTTTGTGTGCACAAATAGATCGCAAACAAGGTTCATTACGATTCGGAGAATTTTGATTGAGTGGAATACGGTTCTAGATTGGAGTAACCCTCATTTAATTATACGATAAGTGCTTATATTGGGATGAGAGATAGAAAATATTAGGCTTTTGCAAGAAAAGTGTATACTCGAATTGGTGAATTTTTTCTGATTAAATAAAGAAACGAAATTTAAATTAACTGTGCAAAGGGCAGATATGTTATCTATAGCAAGATTAAATTTCTGTAACCAGTGAGCTGGGCAGATATGGTAACTATAGTAATATTAAATTTCGATAGCCATTGAGCAGGGAAGATATGTTAACTATAGTAATATTAAATTTCGATAGCCATTGAGCAGGGCAGATATGGTAACTGTAGCAAGATTAAATTTGGTAACCAGTGAGCAGGGCAGATATGTTAACTGCAGTAAGATTAAACTTCGGTAACCAGTGAGCAGAGCAGATATGTTAACTATAGCAAGATTAAATTTTGGTAGCCATTGAGCATGGGTTTTTTCCCTCTCGTGAGATCTGGTTTTTATTAACGAAGTATCTGCTGGCTTCAATAATTAACTATCTTTACAGTACATCAGAAAGGAAGATTAAAAGCGTCAGTCGAAACGTTTAATTTTCCTTATTAAAACACAAAATAACTACAAATTGTTTTTAGCATTACCGAGCCTCTCGTAGGTCGTCCAAATGTTTCTGCTTGTGTACGCAGTCACTTGTGTCATCTGCTAGATATCAAATTGATTTTGATACCGAAGTCGTCTTGCCTCGTGTTTTTTCCTTTTTCTTTTTTTTGCTTCCGTTCCATTCCGCAACAGTAATTAGTCTTATCCAAGTGGGAGTGGCATGGCATTTTTCTTGTAGACTGTGGTAAGCAGGATTCGTTTCGGAATCACAGAGAAGATTACAAATCGTGCCAGCCAAGCTCCCTTTGGCCCAAAAGGATTCTGATGAACATGCTGATATTAATAACTCTCTTCTGACAGAGATGAATGGCGCGATCGACCGCTTTGTGCGTGAACTCTGCCTCTGTTAACGTGAAAAAACGGCGTATGCAAATGAAATGAAAAACTGAGAAACTGTAAACGTGTTTAACATTGGGGAAATGAGGAACTTAATCAGTACGCATGCACATTCATTACATACGCTTGTAGATATGTATATATACTATAGAAATTTCTTCTTGTAAATACGTATATCTGTAATGACAAAAAATGCACATTAAAAAAAAGAAAGAAACTACAAAAATAAACTAACTCAGTGGAGGAGTCTGAGTAGTTACAAACACGATAACTCAGAATAACTCAAGTTTTCATCAGTGAAACATTAAGGAAAGGAATCGTAGAAATGAGAGATTTTTGTTAACGGCAGACATTATAGAAATGGCTCCAGGGAACCATGATCAGGAGAACCCGGAGAAGAGCTAACTTCTCCTAATTTCTCAATGTCTTAGATTGATATATATATATGTACGTAAAACTTTGATATTAGGCACGTACAGATACTTGTGGTGATGTCTGTAATATTACTGTGGCGTTTGTTTTGTTTTTTTACAGCTCTTGCTGTCTTTATCTTTTGTTCATGAAATACATTAACTTACCAGTTTCTGTACAATGAAATACCAAGGTTCCTCACTGAAATGGAATCGCCTTTGCCATTACTTGACTGTTATCATACATCTTGACAACTCTGAAGAACGGTTTCTGCGCGCGTGCTATACCAATATCCATATCCTCAATAATTAGACTGTCGGGCCAGTGAGTGGTAGGGGAAGGAAGCTGAAGATTCCAGCCCTGCGGGAGCACGTGCTCTTCGACGATTGACGTCTTTGGTCTTTCCCTAGCCGCAACCCTCCTGCTGTGGGGAGGAATTACGTTCAAATATGCTCGAGAGCTCCGAAAAATGTGCATCTCCTGAATCTCTTGCATCGCGTCGTGCAGCCATTAACAATAATTTATGTATATCTATCTCAGCGTTGAAATGTGGACCAGCGACAGAGCTGTTATCGACTTTATTTCTATCTTCTATTTTATAGTTCTATTTGTGTGATATGTGTGTTTCACATACAGCCATAGAGTGTATAAACTACACTAAGCTTCCATTTATTCTAACAAAGGATCAGCCAGATAAAACACTTTGCCCCCGACAGTATATTTATAGAGTCACTGTTCCACAACACTAATATACTGAACTTTCGGTTTTAACTTTATTCAACTTATACATTACAAAAACTTATCAATGCGAGATACGTGATTATATATCCCGAACAAACCTTCATTAGTTTTGTTAAAGTTAAATCGAAAATAATTCATGGCGGATCCGGATAGTTTTGGAAGGGAAAATGTTGAAATTCTGAATCCACAGTGTGTCAAGCTAATTATTGGCCAGTCGATTTTCAGCAAAATATTGAATGAAGTAAGCGTTGCTATTATCTATATTATTTAAAATGAAAGGAACAAAATAAATAAATCAAGTCTCACAATATTTTCAGTTAAAGCTCTACGCTCTGCAAAAGTACATTTGAGTTCATGGTCATCGTTTTATTGTGTCTTTACAGGTGTTGGGGGAGTGCACGTGCTTCTACAACGCACGCGTTGATTGGACAGTCTTCTTAGTTATTCTGGTATTTATCTAAACTTTATTTAAGGCCCTTTAAAAAAAGTATAATCATGTTAAGGTCAGAGTTTTTACACATTATTGACATAGATTTAAGGAACAGTGCTTGAGGGAAATTAATGACCCATATGTTTAGATTGACTCTTATTTATTTATTGTATTATCTGCTTTAACTACTTACCTAATTAAGGAATGCATTTATTTCTGTAATATAGATAGAAGCTTAATATAACTGTATTTTGTCACCGATTTTATGAGGTTTAATTCTCCTTTTTTGATATTATTCAAAACAACTTAATGCAGCCCCCCAAAAAAAAAAAAAAAAAA